ACACACACACACACACACACACACACACACACACACACACACACACACACACACACACTTCCTGTTGTGGGGAATCTGGAATATTTTAGAGCTTCATTCCTTTCCTCTGAAGAGAAACGTTATTTTAATGGCCATTGTTGCCAGAAGGAAGGGACATGGTACAAGTAACCGCTTTAGATTGGACCAGACTATGTTACTTGTAACTTAATTGTTTCCAAGTTCTCGTGAGTCTATACTAGAGATGTAAAATTTTGATTTTTTTTCCCCAGAAAAAAAAACACACCAACTTTTCCCCCTTTTTTTTCCCCTGGGAAAAAATGCAAATTTTCGGAAATTTTGCATTTCTCGTTAATACAAGAGATGTGGTCTGTTGCCATCCAAAAGCCTCCTTGGGTACTTAAATGTTTTGCCTACGTTTTTCTCCTGTGGCCAGATCAGAGTTGTACCATACTGTGGATTAAATGCTACATCTTTGTGTGTATATTTTGTGTGTGTGTGTGTGTGTGAGGAGAGAGATAGAGAGAGCTACACACAAAGAGAACTCTTGGCAGAAAACAATGTTAAGAAGCAGCATCTTTCACTTTGGTCTTCCCCTCAAATAGTTACCATGGCAACTGTATTGTATTCAAGAAAAAATTCTCTGAGGCGGGTTGTTGGATAATGTGTACTTTTGTCCACATTCGTTAGATGATATGGATGATACTATAGTCATACCTACTGAGAGGTGGAAAGCATGAAACCAAAACATACTTTAACGACCATGTAAAGAGGAGGAAGTAACATGTTTATTTTTGCCATCTTGAAGAATTTGCTTATTGTTTATTCCTTATTGTTCATTGTTTATTGTTTAATGTCTATTCCTGTATATTTTTATTTTTTGTTATATGTATATGTTATTGTATTTTTATCTGTCTAGAAGCCACCTAGAGTGGTCGTATTGACCAGATAGGTGGGGTACAAATAGAATGTATGTATGTATGTATGTATGTATGTACGTATGTATGTATGTATGTATGTATGTATGTACGTATGTATGTATGTATGTATGTATGTATGTACGTATGTATGTATGTATGTATGTATGTATGTACGTATGTATGTATGTATGTATGTATGTATGTACGTATGTATGTATGTATGTATGTATGTATGTACGTATGTATGTATGTATGTATGTATGTATGTACGTATGTATGTATGTATGTATGTATGTATGTACGTATGTATGTATGTATGTATGTATGTATGTACGTATGTATGTATGTATGTATGTATGTATGTACGTATGTATGTATGTATGTATGTATGTATGTTCCAGGTCAGTTATGTATGTATGTATGTATGTATGTATCTTTGTATGTATCTTTGTATGTATCTTTGTATGTATGTTCCAGGTCAGGCCATATCCATGTTCAATAGATCTACCGTACATGAGGTAATTTAGTTAGGGGGAAAAAAAGAGAGAACCAAATATAGTAATCCATAATGTATTGATCATGCAGAGCTCAAAGTACAATGTATTTGAGTCTCCTCTCTTATCTGCGTAGTTTTCTGGCTGGAGTCTGATGGAAGACGGCTCGATCCGAATCGAAGAGGCAACAGAGGAAACTCTCGGCACATATACCTGCGTGCCTTATAATGCTTTGGGTACCATGGGCCAGTCCCCCCCTGCTCGACTGGTGCTGAAGGTATCTCCCCGGTTGATGTCTTCTTTTGGAAAGCTTAAGAGCCTGGTGCATTTGACACTTTTGCACGTGCGTGTGCATGAAGGGCAGCCAAATTGCTGACTGTGATGTGGACACTTTGCTGTTGCGATGTTGTTCCCAGTGAGGAGTGGGGGGGTGTTTGTGTGCGGGCCCCTCCCTGGATGTCCCTCAGATTAAAATAAGATCAGTTTGCAGAGGCAACTTGGAAACAGAAGAAAAGGAAACACACAATGTCGTGGCGGTCCAAGAGAATTCTGTTTTTAGTTGATTGAAATGACCCCTATGCTATGCTAGTATAACTAACATAGTAATTGCGGAGGTATGAGGAAGGATAATGCACAGTGGAAGGAAAATGCACAGAGATTGTAATGGATGTGTGCATACACACACACACACACACACAATCCATAAATTTACATGGGTCAGTGCTTACATGTATATCAGTGTAATGCGTTAAACCATATGGCTCTTGGCATATTCATTAATAGGCTAAAAGTACTGTAATTGGTTGGCTGCTCTGATTTTCATGCTGTATGCCCACTGAGAATCGTTCAGTTTTATTTATTTCCCTTCTCTCTCTCTCTCTCTCTCTCTCTCTCTCTCTCTCTCCCCTGCCCCATTTCCATGACATCCTGGGTACAGGACCCACCCTATTTCACGGTGCTACCAGGCTGGGAATACAGACAAGAGGCAGGGAGGGAGCTGTTGATACCGTGTGCCGCTGCAGGAGACCCTTTTCCTGTCATCGCTTGGAGAAAGGTATCTGACCTGCCAGAAAAATGGGCAGTACCTTTGGCTTTTGGTGAATATTGGAGACAGAGGAGCCACCCTCTGTCCCGGTAAGAGCAAACTGACAGGTTCAGCTGCTTCGCTTTGAGCTGTGCCACTGCCACCCTGTCCCGCAGGTGGGTGGGGGAAACCCAGCTCCTTGCAAGAAACTGCAGAAAACCAGAGCAGCAACTAGCACTATCAGGAGAGGCAGCCCTCTCTCCAAAATACAGTGGTGCCCCACATGACGACGGTAATCTGTTCTGTCAGAATCGCTGTAGAGCGAAATCGTCGTCATGCGAAAAAAACGCAACCCATTGGAATGCATTGAAAACCGGTTAATGCATTCCAATGGGGAAATACTTCATCGTCCAGCACACCACTGTAAGCCATTCTTCTCCCTCCTTTTCATTGCTCCTTTGTCTCAGTATGTATCACAACACTCATCACTAATTCGGTCTTCCTTTCCCCAAAATGGCCGTCCGCTGTGTTTAGGATGGATTCCTCACTTAGCAGGCACCAGAAAATGGCCGCCCTATGGAGGATCTTCGCTGGATAATGAGGTATTTCGCCCATTAGAACGCATTAACCAGTTTTTAATGCATTCTAATGAGTTTTTTTACTTTTGCTTGACGACGACTTTGTTGTACAGCGGTTTTGCTGGAACGGATGATTGTCATCAAGCGAGGCACCACTGTACAGTGTTGGTCCCAATGAGTATACCCAGTGAAAACAATTGGGGCTTGCACTCACAATTTCTAAAAGTCCTTCTGACTTCTGTTCATCTCCTGTAGTTGAAACTGACATTGGATTGAGCCCAGCATGACTCAGTGATCTCCGTGCCTAAACAAGCATTTGCTTTGTGTCTCAAGGCCTATTTTAGCCTCTCCTCTCTTCCATGCTTCTCAGTTTCAACTCTTCCCTTTGTGCCTCTCATGGAGTTCCGCCTCCAAAGTTTTCATCTACTGTAGCTGACCTAACCACACTCTGTCTGGTCCTGGAACCACCGGGCATTTCATTTCCCCAACACTTCTCATCCTCTGGATTCCCTTGGCGGCCACTTAGCAGTCACCCCTCCTTATTTATGGTTCCTTCTTCTGTGGCTTGAGATGCAAAAGCAGAACACAGTCCTAACGGGAAGGGGGAAACGACCTTTCCATTTTGTGCCAAAACTGCTGTCCAGAGCAGGGTGCAGCCCGGTATTACAGCCCAAGGCTGTTTTCTTGGTAGGGCGGAGGCAACTGAATGGGACCCCTGCTCTCTCTACTGAAATTAAGCAATAAACTAAGTAATGCAGACCACAAAAGCAAAACTGCTGTTTCTAGGCTATTCTGAAATCCCTGTGTGGGTGCTTTGAAGTCTAGATTCTTTGGCTTTAAGTGTCGACTTAAGAAAATTGAATTGCTTGTTGGAAGTTGGCTGGAGGCTTTTTTCCCCCCCTGGGAATTGCCCTCAATGGTGGTGGTTCACTAGGCAGTGTGTGGTGTCTCACTTAGACCTTACCCATTCCATAGGAACACTTGTAGAGAATGAAAGGCCAGGCCTACCCAGCCGAGCTGATCCTTCGATCCTGCTGCATTGTGTGCATAAACCCTGACTGGTTATTCTTTGAATAAGACATTCCCAGTTTGAACTCTGGTTTTTACCTTGGTGAGCTACGGGCATTTCTGACTTCTAAAGGGAAAAAGGGGCCAACCTACTCATCTCCTGGGTCAACCTACCCAGCTCCTCAGCTTCTTTTGGCCTAGTAGAAGGTTGACCTCTTTGTTTTGTTGCTTTTTGCTCCATTCCAAATCCGGTCCTTGCCTTTGTTTGTAGAAGGATGTACAAACCCAAAAGCATTGATTCCCTGCCCTTGACGTTCTTTTGAATCCGAAAGCCTGGACCTCACCTGTCCCTAGACCTGCCTTTCCTGTCCATGTAGCTTTCGAGAAACATGACCCTGCCTTGCCTGCCTGGCCATTGATTTTGCCTCACCCTTCGGTTAGATGCTTTGGAGGAGGCTTACGAGAAGCACAGCTGACCTTTCCCGCTGTGGGAGGGATCGTTCCAATGGTGCACTGCTGCCTCGGTCCCATATCTTTGCGACATGCCTCTGAGTTGTGTTTCTTTCTCTCCTTTTTTTGTTTTTGTGTTCTCTTCCTCTTTCTTGTCTTCTTTCCCCTCTGCTTTCTCTCTTGTTTGACCAAGGTAGGGAAGCCCAGTAGAAGCAAGCACAACACCCTTCCGAGTGGCAGCCTCCAGTTCCGATCCCTCAGCAAGGATGACCACGGAGAGTGGGAGTGTGTCGCCACAAACATTGTCACAAGCATTACCGCCAGCACTCATCTGACCGTCATCGGTAGGTGTGGGAAGCTCGGTGGACGAACCAGTCCCTGAAGGTTGAGGATGTTCCAATCACTCATCTTGGTTCTACTCGTGGATGTGCTAATTGAATTGTGCAAAAATAATTTGGAACAGCCCATGATAAACAGCATGGTTACAGGGTACAATAGGGTGTTTTTATGTATCGTTCAGATGATGTTTCGTGATAGCTCCTGAGCTGGCTTTTAGAAAGTCTTTTGGGTGGGGTGCTTTAAATACGAAAGATCACTGAACAGGCTCTGTAGCGTTTATGAACCTTACCCTCTTTCTTCTGTAACAGGAACTTTGGTTCCAAAGGAGGAATCATGTATCATAGTTTGGCTTATGCTTCTTGAACATGAAAGTGCAGGAATGTGAGAGCAGCGGGATTCAGATGGTACCGAAGACAGTGTATCCACTTCTGTGAATAAATTGTTAGAAGGCTGATGTGACAGCAGTGTTTGGGGTGATGGAACTATCCCTGTGAATGAATGCATGTCTCGCCGGACCATCGCCACTGAAATGTTTAGGAAGAGAAATTTCCAGGGAAACTCTGAAGGACAGCTCATGGTGGCCAAATTGATTGATGATTGATTGATTGATTGATTGATTTGATTTGTATCTTGTCCATCTGGTCTATGCGACCACTCTGGGCAGCCAAAGAGTACTGTATTAATGAAATAGGAGTTTGTCAGTGAAGTTAGAACAAATGGCTTTCTAATATAGACACCTAGCTAGAACTATGTAGTGGTTATTAATGGTTTATCATATGAACTGATGGATAGCTCAAGAGTTTAGGCATCTGGCTGTGAAGCCAGAGGTTGGGAGTTCAATTCCTCCCTGTGCCTTCTTGACAAGGGCTGGACTCAATGATACGTAGGGTCCCTTCCTGCTCTGCAGTTCTAAAATGATGATGATAATGATGATGGTTATATGCATCTGATAATCTTAGAACTTCAAGGCTGGAAGGGACCCTCTCGATCGTCAAGACCAGCCTCTGTCAAGAAGATGAAGCCAGAGGTTGGGAGTTCAATTCCTCCCTGTGCCTTCTTGACAAGGGCTGGACTCAATGATACGTAGGGTCCCTTCCTGCTCTGCAGTTCTAAAATGATGATGATAATGATGATGGTTATATGCATCTGATAATCTTAGAACTTCAAGGCTGGAAGGGACCCTCTCGATCGTCAAGACCAGCCTCTGTCAAGAAGAGCACAGTGGTTAGAACTTCAAGGCTGGAAGGGACCCTCTAGATCGTCAAGACCAGCCTGTGTCAGGAAGAGCACAGTGGGGGAATTGAACTCCCAACCTCTGGCTCCAGAGCCAGAGTCCTTAAGCCGCTGAGCTATCCAGCAGTTCAGGTATAGGAGGGCAGATCTTGGCTAAGCCCAGTTTTCCTTTTAGCTGGCAGCTGAGGGTCTCTTCAAAAAAGCTGCCAGAAATCAAAGGTATGATCTCTACTGAAATTTAGCTGTTTTCCTTCCCAGCTATTTTTAAAGCTTTGCAGCACTTCTGCGATATTTATGTCATTTTATTTTAAGCTGGCAAGTGAAAAAAATGCATACAACTTTTCAGTCCGTCTAAAGCTAGATATCTTTTTTTTTGCCATAATTACCTTAATGAATTGAAGGTGTTTCGATTGGCATATTTATTTGTTTTAATCTGTGACTGTTATTGCCTGTTGGGGGAAATAACAGGACCTGTTTAGGCATCAGGGGAGCGCGGATGTGTGATTTTTTTTTCTGGTTCCCAAATGGGCTAGGGACTTGATTTTATAAGTGATGTATCTGCTGTGGGTTGTAGCCTAAACTTTAAAGGAAATATGCATGGTGCTGAGTCTGTTTGAGGGATAGGGTTCAGAACTCTGACTGTTATTGCCTGTTGGGGGAAATAACAGGACCTGTTTAGGCATCAGGGGAGCGCGGATGTGTGATTTTTTTTTCTGGTTCCCAAATGGGCTAGGGACTTGATTTTATAAGTGATGTATCTGCTGTGGGTTGTAGCCTAAACTTTAAAGGAGATATGCATGGTGCTGAGTCTGTTTGAGCGATAGGGTTCAGAACTCCGGACAGCTCCTATAAAGTTCAGACTAAAACAGATGACAGATTCATTGTTTCTACAAAATTAAAGTCAGTGCCTCCATTGGATGGCACCATGTAGAGTGTAAAGGCAGTTAGTGGATTCATAATTGATGCAGAGCAAAAAATAAATATAAACAGGAAAGAGTTATGGAGACTTTGATGAAGGTGACTGTGGAAAGAGAAGATCAGGAAGTGTTTGAGGCTGTTTAAGTACAAAAGGGCACCAATCCATCAATCTGTTCTGGATGGGTGGATGGCTTGGACACTGTCCTTCTCCCAGTAGCTCTCTGCCCCTGCTTTGAGGATCCCTTTTATTTCATTGGCTGGTTGTTATGAATATTCAAGGAGTCAACTGCTTGAGCCTGTGTGCCAGTGGAGTGACTGAAAGGCACAAATCAGGATTGGATTCTGGGAAGAAAAGAGTAATCCCTATACTTTAATTTCATGGTCACATGAATCTGCTGCTCAAAACTCATCCCTTTGGTTTGTTTGTCCATTGGCTATGTATCTAAATGTGTTGGAAACCAAAGCTTCTTTTCCTGCCAAGCGGAACAACATGTTTCTCTGCTTGTAAAGTGTGTAGCCAGAGGGACATTTAGCCTTCATGAACTGTTAGGGCTCAGTGAGGATCAGATTCTGAGATACTTGTGTTTTGTGATCTTGGAGGCATTCATGGGTGGACAAGAAATTTGGAGGTAGACATTGACTGAGTTTGCAGGCAGCCGTGCAAGGGACACATGGGACAGAAGGTAGTCCAAGGACAACCAAGGTCACATTCTAGAGGTAGCAAAGTTGCTGGAGGAGACACAAGTAGCAAGTGATTTGAAAATGGCTGCCCATGAAGAAGAAGGAAGTAGAATCTTGACTAAGTGAGGTCTTCTTGCACCTGATGAGCTGCTCTGACTGGAGAAAAGCATTCTGAGGCTAAGAATGTATAGGGCCTGGAAGACCCTGGGGAAGTCCACTGCCCAGGAGTGTTCAGTAAGTCAGTGGGGCCCAGTCATCCAATTTTGATGGTACCATGAAACACACGGGCCTCTAGGAGGTCACGTGGTTAATGCGGAGTGGTGGTGTAGTAGATGTAAAGTGTTGATGCCTGATTACTAAAAGCTCTAGTCTGTGAATAAACAAACAAGCAAGCAAGCAAGCAAACCTACAATGCATCTTTTCTGACTGGGGTGGGGGGACTTGTAACCAGGTCCCGGTGTGGCAGCTGCCAAGTGGCTACCCTATCTGGACACCACAGGACGGAGGAAATCTGGTGTAAACAATCTGATGGCAACTCTGAGAACTGATGTGCTTTCTTTCCCCCTTCCTTCAGGCACAAGCCCACATGCCCCGGGCAATGTGCGCATCGCTGTATCCATGACTTCAGCCAACGTTTCCTGGGAGCCCGGCTACGATGGCGGATATGAACAGACATTCTCAGTTTGGTACGGCCCTCTGTGAGTCATCCCAGCATGCTTTGCTCTCTGCTTCTCTTCTTTCCCACTTGGCCCGAACGTGGATTGGGCAACAGGGTGTTGCCGTTCTTGGACTGAGTCCACCTGATGAGCAATTCACAGGAGTCTGATGTCCTTGAATAAGGAGGCGACCAACTACCGACTGACTCCATTTTTCATCTGGATTTTAGACGGTTAAACCCGATGATGCAGAACAGGGCTTTCTCCAGTATCAGTTTCAGAGAGGTGGTGTGCTTGTCTTTATCAACTGCATCTCCATCTCACCTTTCTTCCTTGATGAAAACTCAGAGCAGTTTGTTCAGATACACTATTGTCCATGTAGGAACCAGATGCACACCTGCTTATGGCCAAGCGAGATGTGTGGTGCTAAGTGAGTGCTCGCAGAAGGGCTTAGGTTGGTGGCAAAGATCTCCGATTTAGTGCCTAAATGACATATGATGCCACTCAGAGTTTGCATACAATTTGGGCACTCCGGAGAGTAAAACCAGAGGTGAGCATAAACTCAAGGCCAACCATGAACTCAAAATGACCAGGGCTTGGAAGTGTTAAATTAGATTAGGCATCCTTCAGTCTCGAGAGAGTATGGTAAATTTTGGATTGTGGCTCTCAGAACTGGCTATGCTGGTTTGGGAATTCTTGCTTTCTGGGGGAAAAAAACCTCTTCCAGGTTCTGGATATGGATATGTTGAAAAAAGGAGTTGGTTTGTTGGTCTGTTGCATTGTTTAGAACGGCTTCTGGTTTGTACGCAGTGTAGATATAATTTAATATTGGAAAGCCTCTGGAATCCATACATGTATGTTGAATAAGAAAGGGTCTTCTTGTTGCAGAGATCACAATTTCAGGCACTGACGGTTGCAGCAGAGAAAAGAGCTTTTACTAGAAAGTTTGCATTTGGTGATGCCATCTTTAGAAGTGAGAGGACTGGTTGCAAGAAATCCTGTTTACTATATTTGATAATTTGATACCTGTTCCAGCAAAAGCTGTCATGGAAAAAGTAATTTCTTTTAGTTTGGAAGGAAGGAAGGAAGGAAGGAAGGTGTTAATGGATAGAAGGAAGGAAGGAAGCTGTTAATGGATAGAAGGAAGGATGGAAGGAAGGAAGGAAGGAAGGAAGGAAGGAAGGAAGGAAGGAACGAAGGAAGGAAGGAAGGAAGGAAGGCATGGATTGATTGGGATTAGACAGCAAAATGTACACAGCTGGCGCTAAGCTT